CGCGGGGGGGGGGGCTGCAGCGAAGGGTGGGAGGATGTTTGGGTCAGAGCCTGAGCAGCCCATGGGACTGCAGCGCCCTCTCCTGGTAGGAGACTTGGGAAAATCACATCCTGGTGGACTGACAGCACAGTCCTGGGACTTGTCCTCCAAAAGCCAGTGACTTAAATTGGGACTTCTTCACAGAGTTGGGAAAGGCTTTTTCGACAGAGTCTAACTCTGTGCTCAGAGCAGGAATTCAGACTGAAGTAGTCTCAACAGATGGTGTCCGGTCTTCCCTTGAATATATCCAATGAAGGAAAACCCACCGCGTCTCTGGGTCACTGGTTTCGCTTCAGACTGCTCTTGCTCTTAACATTCAACTGGAATCTGCTGCCTAATAATTTACATTTTATTATATCCCCTGCCCTCTTGCAGGAGGGAGGGTGATAAAGAACAGGTCTTGGCCTTATGTGTGAAGTCCTTTCTGATAGCTGAAGCGTGCAATCATCTCGATGAGCAAATTGTACTGATCCTGCTGCATAAAGAGCCATGTCTTAAGCTGGTGCTTGCTTGCTTATTTATTAGATGTGTTACCTGCTACAGTCAGACAACTCTTGGTGTCTTACAAGATCATCCAATACATTTAAAGTCCACAGTATAACATTAATAACATAAAAATAAAACTTGAAAAATACACCTATAGCAAACTTAAAAAGAATTCAAAAAATAATAAATAGATGGCCAGTGCAGGAGACAGAGTATGGGTACAATGTGTTTCTGTTGGCATGTGCAGAGAGGTAGTCTCCAAAAGCAGCTCCCTGCAGAGCACACTGTGGTAATGCAGGTAAGTGCAGATGAGGATGTGAGTCACTTGCCACAGCTTCACATTTCAGGTAAGGCTGAAGCTGGAGCACTAACCAAAGTTGGGTGAGGATCTCAGGTCAACAGATATGCTTCTTCAGGGACAGTGCTCCCCCAGCAAGAGAACATCCTGGAGATATCAGAAGCCTGCAATGGGCCAAAGGTAATTCTCTTCTAATGGAGTTAAGCTTTGGACTATTCTGTCCCACCCAGGCCTTCAAATACAGGATCAAGATCTTGTCAGCATCACCTGTGTGGCCTGGGATAGTGACGTGCAACTGGGTATCCTCAGCTTATTAATGATACTGTACCCCAAACAGAAAGACTACCTGTCAGGTCTACGATGTTCAAATCCCAATGAAGAAAAATCTCTTGAAACTCAAATCAAGTTCAAAAAG